TGGGCTGTACAAGATGAGGAAATCAATTAGAAATCTGGATTATGATGGCTGCAGTCAAGGTAGAAATATATTTTTGGTTAATTCAGTTAAATAAGACAATGGCTCTTATTTTTTTAATTCCCAAAACTTCTTAAGTCTTAAGAATTTTATACACACACACACACACACACACACACACACACGTCATGAATTTAAATACATATAGTCACTTGCATGATTTCCTTCCATTAGGTTGTGAAATAACTATTTTTATTTACCTCTATATCCCCACATGCTTTGTTCAGAGAAGTTACTCAATATGTGAGATAGAGAGCAAAAGGTCTAAGAGGGGAGATCACAAGAAGCAATTCAGGGCTGGGCTCTGGGTAGCCTGCAACACCACTTGCTGTCTCTGGTCCTCTCTCTGGAATTAATGTTTTCTTAGACAAAATGCTAGTTATCTGTTTCATGCAAGGCTCAGTAACATGCACATATGCATGCACACATTAAGCAGTGCAGTAAATGTCATCTTTTTTGTAAGAATTCTGYATTACAAGGACAGTCAATAAAATACACACCTGCCGGCCTACTCGGTCAGGAGGAGGCCACAAAGCATCATCCTCTTTGGTAATTTCACTGTCATCAATTATTCTCTTCAATTCCTCCATCACACTTTTATGTACATAGGCCTGAAAGCAGGTTAAAAAAAAGAACTTAGGTTGTATTTTTATGGAGTACTCTGACTCAGAGAAGATAAAAACAACAGCTCCTGAAGACCTATTTCTATGCAGTTGGGCATGGTAGTGTATTAGCCTGGAAAACTGAGTGAGATCCTGTCTCAAAATAAAAAGTAAAAAGGTTGGGAATATAGCTCAGTGGTAAGGTACCCTGGGTTCAATCCTCAGTACCCCCCCCCCAAAAAAAAAACAAACTAAAAACACTTTGTACGCTAGCCCATGTTGAAAAAAAATGTAAGGATGCTGACAAGTATGGAAAAGTGTAAAATCAATTGCTCGTTAAATAGTTATTAAAATACATTGACTATGGGCTTGAGTTGTAGCTCAGTGGCTGAGCACTTGCCTCTCAAGTGTGAGGCACTAGGTTCAATCCTAGCACTACATAAAAACAAATAAAGGCACTGAGTCCATATACAACTAAAAAAAAATTTAAAAAAATACGTTGACTGTTAAGATATTTTCAAATGTAACAAAGTGGTAAAAGGAAAAAGTAGCTTTGACAAAGTCTTTCCATGTTGAGTTAACATAGATCTTATTCATTAGTTTTAATTTTTTTGGTATAAAAAACAATGTGACAAATCACAACAGAATGAGAGTCCATGGAACTGTACTAAGGCATGCTGTGTAGTCAGTTTTTCGTCACCATTACCAAAATACCTGATAAGAACTAGTTAGGGGAGAAAAAGTTTAATCTGGGCTCATGGTTTCAGAGGTTCAGTACGTGGTCAGCTAATTCCATTGCTCTGGGCCCTAGTTGAGGCAAAACTTCATGAGGGAAGGGCTTGGCAGAGGAAAGATGCCCACCAGGGAGGAGGGAAGCAGAGGGAAGGGCAGTGGGGAAGAGGCCACAGAGAAGATAAACCCTTCCAGGGCATGCCCTCAGTGACTTACCTCCTCCAGTCACAACACACCTGCCTATAATTACTGCTTAGTAATTCAAATTATAAGTCCATCAAATGGATTAATCTATACCAATGTGGTTATAGCTCTCAAAATCAAACCGTTTCACCTCTAAACATTCCTGCATTACTACGTGATATTTCTTTGGGGTCAGGGGAGTATGACAAGCATCTCATATCCAAAGCATAATATATGCACAGATCTGAATTCCAGTTGTTAACCTCTTACTAGCAAGGATGACTGTGAACAGGCCCCATCTGGGCCTTCATTTTGTTATAAAGAGGATATAATACCTCCCATCACATGGGCTTATAATCAGGGTTAATAAGATCATATGTATGATCTTAACACCTGGTGCCATGCATGGCATCTATCATGTATTCAATGATGCTAATTGCTTTCCATGCTCCCTTTTTACTTTCAGATGCAAATTAAATAGCTCTCTTCATTGAGTGCTATGTGCCGAGGAATATACCAACTGCTTTAAGAATAACATATTTAATTCTATGACAGTACTTGGAAAGGGACAATGATTTTATTATCCCTGTTTCTGCATATGAAGAAACAGAGACTTATCAAGTTCAGCCAGGAAACTTATCCAAGGTCACACAGGTTAGTAAGCAGCAGATTGAGGGATCCAACCAAGGCATACCAGGCTTCAAGTAGCTATCAGTAATTGATTCATAATTATAAAAAAAACCCTGAAATACATAAATAAAATAAAAAAGACATAATCTAGAAGCTGTTTACAAATATAGATCTACTTCCCTAGTCCTTAACTTTAAATACTATTCCTAGAAAGAGCAAAACCAATATAAGGCAGAAAGACAGACTGAAATGAAAATGAAAGGCTCATACCTCTTTTCTGATCATGACATCATTTTTGTAATTACTGTTGTTGGCATACCTCAATTTACCTGTAAAAGGCAGAAAATAAATGCAATATACAGTAAAAACATATGAATAAAGCATTATTAGTCTACCGAGACTATTACCTGTTGCCTAAAATGTATCCTAACTATTTTTCAAAGGGGCTGTCAGTTTTACTATGTACACCTTGGAGTTTCAACACTACTAGTCTTTTCAGTTTGTCACTTCAGGTTACTAGCCTCCCAGCCAAAAATTCAGGTAACACTGAACTACACGTTCAAGCAAAAGGCAACTACCTATGGAAAAGAACAAAAGCAGACTGTTTTGTGACTCAGACAAACCACAGTTCTGCAGATTAATATTCTCAGCTGAAAATAAGGATTGTAGTTGATAACTTACCTGCCAGAGGACATGTGAAGGCACACTGAAAACTGTAGGATGCTGTTTATATGTATTATCATACAACCATGTGACAATCTGATATTTCTGTGATGAAAAGAATGTGCTTTTATCATTGAACATATTTGGTACACAAGGCCCTCTGTGCATATGAAGAGTGAACAGGCTAGTTTGGGAATACGGCAGGGATGAAGGAGAAGATAGAAAAAAAACAGAAAACATGATTTTCCCCACTATGGAAGACACAGGTAAGAAGAGCCAAATAAAAAGCCTTTTCACTTTTTCTCTACTTCAAGTTTCATTTCATGTTACTTACAATGGACAATGTGATGCAGGAACAGAACTACATGGCTAGGTTAATCTAATACTTTGATACCATCAATGGTTTCCTTCTGCCTTCCTGACAAAACCAAACTCCTTATTATAGCAACTAAGCTGAACCCCTGCCTTTCTTTATAACCTCTCTCCTACATAATCTTTAATCATAGCTGGTGTCAAACACGTTGTTTCTGCCTGAAACATCTCAAGCACTTTTTAGCTTTCAGCCTCTTTGCTGTGAATCGTCCAAAACACAACTACTACACAATTCTGCACATCCTTCCAACTCAAGTCATAGTATGCAGGAAGTTTTCTTCTGACCCTCAAGTTAGATTAGGTGCCTCCTCTTTGCTTCCAAAGTTTCCTTTGCTTCTTTATGCCACAACACCTAATACACCATTCTGTCACTGTTTGTTTACAAATCTATCTCCCTCACAGTTGAAGCTTGTCAGATTCATCTTTGTACCCTCATTTAGTTCAAATTTTCTATCATCTTTGACTCCTCTTTCCTCCACCAGTGTGCCTTCCAAATATTATCAGTCAAGCCTAATTGGTTCTGCACCCAACACTATCCCAAATCTTCTCCATTTCTATTAATTGGTACCCTAGTCCCAACCAACACTTCCTCATTAGTGACCATTTCCACTCTTGCCCATTCTGCACCCAATAGCTAGAATACTTTTTCAGGAATAGATAACATCTTTCCTTTGCTTCAAAATTTCCGACTGTGCCCTGCTGTATTTAGAAATCTAAACTCTTTTTTTTAAAGAGAGAGAATTTTTAATATYTATTTTTAGTTTTCAGCGGACACATCATCTCTGTTTGCATGTGGTGCCGAGGATCGAACCTGGGCCGCACGCATGCCAGGCGAGAGCGCTACCGCTTGAGCCACATCCCCAGCCAGAAATCTAAACTCTTTACCATGGTCTATAAACACATGGTGTGGCCCCAACCTATCCGACATAATCTCCTACTATTGTCCTCAGAGCTCAACTATTGCTCAACCATCACACTAGCTATCTGAAACATGCCTGGCTTGTTCTTGCCCTTGACATTTGCTACTCCCTCTGTAAAATGCTCTTCCTCTGAGCTTCACGAGGCTGGCTCCTTCTTGACACCCAGGGCTCAGTTCCAATATCCACTCTTCAGAGAGCGCTCTAAAGGCTACCCTATCTTAAAGCAGCTCAACCAGCAATTATTTCAACATTTTGCCTTTTCAGGATCAATCGTCACTGTCTGGGATCATTTTGTGATCCCTCTCCCAGCGTTGAAACAGAAGTTCCGCGAGAGGATTAGTTTGTCTATCCTCGTTGCTGTATTCCTAGAGTGGAACACAGCAAATGTAAGCAAACCGGTCACAACTAGCACTAAAACAGAAGCCGCTGCACATGGGTAGAAAGAACCTAAGCGCGGAGAAAGAGGGTTCCTTCAGACCCGGTCTGAACGGGTCTCAGTCCCTTCCTCTAGTTCCCTGCCCATTCTGGACCCCAGGGATGCCCCCAGGCCTAGCACTCCGGGCGCGCGAGAAGCCGCTCTTACCGTCGGGTCGGAATTCAAACTCCAAGAACTCGTGGCCGAACTTGCCTTTGTGACCCACGTAGTAACGTAGATAAAAGTCACTCTCCATGTCTAGCAAAATGGAACTAAGACCGAACTTCAGAAGTAAAGAACAATGCCGCGGTCGCCGGCCGATAATGACGTTTACGGTGGCGCGCGGAAGTGACGTCAAGGAAAGGGCGCGCTCGCGGTGTCTAGGTCCCTCCTCCCCGGAGGGGGGGAAAAGCCTGTCCCTATTTTCCACCCCGGGGCGGTAAAGTGGAGGAACTTCTCTGTGTGTTTTGGGAATGAGGTGGAAGYTGCCGGCGGTCGTCGTGCTTCTTCTTCAGGGACTGGCGACCTCATTTAAAGGCTGGGAGCCCGGGACTTCGATCCTGGGACCTGCCATTTTAAAGGAAACCGACTCATGAGTCGGAGAAGATTCCTTACTGTCTCTGGATCTAGGTTATCTCAACAGTAAAATGAGCAAAATGACCGACTTCCCAGGACAAAGCCGTGCACGATGATGTGTGTGTAAATTGTCTTCAAACTTCTGTTAAGAAAACGTTCTCAGTGACGCCTTCCCCGAATCCACAGTGCAGATTACCTGGAACTAACTCGCCTAGACTAATTCCTGTTCTTCCTCCTTTTATTTTTCTCTCTCTCCCTGCTTCACTGGTCTCTAGAATAGGTACCTTAAGGGGAAGTTAAACGGTATACCTGATTTCTCAGGGATTCTCAGCCCAGGCTGCATGTTGGAATCATGTTCCATTGACGCCTTTAAAAAATATAAACTCCTGGACCCACCCCAAACTCATATCTCCAATGAGGATCTGGAAGTTGTTTTTTTGTAGAGCTCCCTAGATAGGTAAAGGTAGGTGACCAGCGCCCAGGCTATCTTTTCCCGTGAGAGTTGTTGACATCTGAGTTTTCTGGCTCAGCTAAGGTTTGTGTAGCCCAAGGGCCATGAAAATCCTAATTATAGAAGCATGCTTTAGCCATCCAAGTTCCAGCTATAGAGAGAATGGTTCTAGAAATGGTGCTAAGATGACATCGTTATTTGGGCCTGGAGACTCTAATTGTATAGTATTCTGTAAATCCTGTAAATTCTTAATAAATTCTTATTCCCAGACTACACTTTTCTCCCTGAAGAAGCATTGGTAGCAGAGTGTAGAGTGGGTTTAGAGGCTGAGGGAATCACTGGAGATTGAGGTTAAAATAATTCCTTAACAGTGAGTCACTGTAACCATAGGTGAACAGGTTCAACTTTCTGAAACTCAGTTGCATTATCTTTAAAATGGGCATAATAGGACTGGAAATGTAGCTCAGTGGTAGAGTGCTTGGTCTAGCATGTGGGAGGCTCTGGGTTTGATCCTTAGTACAGCAAAATGATAAATGTATAAAAAATAAGAACCTAATAATACTGTGTACCTGGAAGCACTATTATAAGGATAAGAAAGAATGTCTTAGAAAATATTTTGTCAACTGTAAATTGCTATAGTCATGAGGCTTTTTGTGTTTGTGGTGCTGGGGATTGAACCCTGGGCCTTGTGCATGCAAGACAAGAACTCTGTTAACTGAGCTATATCCCCAGCCCATCATGAGGCATTTTTATTACAAAGCACTGGACAGGAGTGGTAACAAGGGAATTTTATGAAAAGAGAGGGGAACCACTAGGTATTTGGCACTGAATACATGTCAGCTCCTAGGCTGAGCCCATTTACATGTGCTTGTTCTTTGAATCATCAGTCTTTTTTAAATTGTTGATATACCTTTATTTTTAATTTATTTATATGTGGTGCTAAGGATCGAACTCAGTGCCTCACACATGCCAGGCAAGTGCTCAGCCACTGAGCCACAATCCCAGCCCCCATTGTAACAGTCTTGAAGTGATAGTTGGAATTAGGCCAGTTGTCATATGGTTATTTTCCTACAATGAAATTATAAAAACTCTTAATGGRCAAATCTAGGCATCTGTGGACATGGCAAATAACAAAAGTACCAAAAAATTTAAAGGACACTTGACCCAGTTAGCCTGTAAAGTAATCCAGGTGTTTGGACATGAGATAATATTGAATAGCTGAAAGAGCATGACATGCATGTCTGCAATGCCTGAATTCAGCATAATTTGTCTACTCTGTGTCATGTGCTGAGGATATGATGTGAAAGAACAGATCTTTATAGAGCTTGCAGAGAATGCAGTTGAGCACACAAGAAGGCATAAGGTAGGAATAAGGGTAATCAATAGAGGAAGCATTGAATACTCTGGAAGTACAGAGGCGCTTGACCACTGAGTCACATCCCAAGTCCATTTTTATTTATTCACTGAATTGCTTAGCACCTTGTCTTTGCTGAGGCTGGCTTTGAACTCATGTTCCTCCTGTCTCAGTCTCCTGAGCCGCTAGGATTACAGGCATGTACCACTGCACCCAGCAAGACCCTTACTCTTATTAAAGGGTTTGGGTTAACCCAAGAATATTGGGTTTTAATGCCAAGGAAGAAGTTGAAGGGCTTTAATCAGGAAAGTAGAAAATAATGGTGGTGACATGACCTATTGTATTTTTAGAGAGATCACTTTGGCTGCCATGTTGTAGGTTAGATTGGAAAATGAAAAACTGAAAGTTGAAATTTGGATAGTCGTTAAAGTATTCCATGAGGGTGGTAATACAAGATAATGGTGACCCATAGTCAGGTAGTGACAAAAGAAATAGAAAAATGGGTGGGTTTAATTTAAGAGGTAAGTAAAGAAGACTAAGATATGGCCAGTGAGGTCGGGGAAAAACCATGAGTATGGTGTTTAAGAGTTTGCCAATAAGGAGTGGTCAACTGTGTTAAATATGGCTTCCAGGTCCAGGAAGTTAAGAACTGAAAGCATTTACAACATTTATAGTGAAGGAGATCCTGGATCAACTTGGTGAAAATAATCTCAATGACATAGGAGTTAAGTGTCAGGATAGAAGTACTGGGATGCAAATAGGCAAAAATTATTATAGAAGTATAGAGTTGAGTTACAGAATGAGAAAACAGGGAAGCTTTCTGGAGGAGGCATTACCTAAGTGGAGTACTCAGGGATAAATAGTCAGAAAGAGGCAGAAAAATAAAACCCAGGCAGAGAATCATGTGGGCGTGCTCTTTGGGTCTATGAAAAATAACTGTGTGACTTTGGGCAATTACTTCACTCATTTCCTCATTTATAAAATAGGGATGGGTAGTCCTGATAGTATTTATCTTATAGGGTTGTTGCCAAGATTGAGATGATTTATGTAGAATACCTGAGACATATTAGTGACTCAATTACTGATAATTCATTCCCCCCACCAATTAAAGCATCACAATGGACAATACTTCAAAGATTTTTAAAAATGAATTTAATCTCTCTAGAAACATTGTATTGATTTTACAAATGTCTACATTTGGTTTTCAGTTCACCAAGATGATGTCAGTACAGCTAGGGAGATGCAGCACACACCTTCACTCCCTCTGTCTCTGGAAGAGAAACCAGATTGTAGAGGGCATGGAGTACAGAAGCTAACAGAACTCAAAATGGTAAGACAAAAAGAGCAGAAACAGTTGGTGTGACCAAACATTCTAACATGCCCGACTGTTACATCAAGTACAGTAATTTGGGGATTGAAAGGAGACAAACAAGGAAAATCCACTTGGATACAAGATGATGGAGTTTGCAAACCAGTACTTTACCCTCAAATTGACAATTAGTATAGAACAAAATGCTATTTTAAAAGCACATGGTTTGTACAGGTATTTGTTTTTTTGTAATTTTTGTAAAAAAGTATCAAAACTGTGTCTTTAAATATATATATATTTATACAGGTGGCTTTCTTAAAATTATTTTTATAGCACAAAGTGTTTGCAAATGCAGAGGGTTTCTGCCGATTCTTGACTGTGCACATGGTGCATAGCCTGAATGAAGAGCTTCCTGACTTTTTTATATTAACTGAAAATTTTGAAGCTATAATTCCTCCACCTTCTAAATTCTTCATATCCTGTAATTTCCCAATATCCTAAAAATATAGTGTGAGAAGACTCTGATATTATCTTCATGCATTTATGGGAAAGGAAATTTTCTCTGAAATGTTTTAACTACTAACTCATTTATATTCTGTGACGAGTGCATGACCAATTTTGGTGTGGATTTTATTTCTGTGGGATGCGAATGGCCCTCCCCATTCCCGCTAGTGCCTGACTGTACAGTGACTAGGATCTCCTCTCCAGATGCCACATCTTTAAAAYTTCTAGTTTTCTCATAGTTGAGAAAAATCTAAGAGGCTCTTGACAACATGGCATGCTTCCATGAAAATCATACTGCCTTTATATTAGTTTTCATCAACCATATTAAGAAACCTCTAATTCAAGTTTATGAAATGCAGTCAACATTTCCCTTTGGCCACTGGAAACTTGAGGCTGAATAATGTCACGTCTGCAAAGTGCTGGCAATGCATATATTTTCCATGGTGTACTTAGTGCCTTGTTCACAATAATGACCAAGAAATGTTTAATTAAATCAGAAATTAAATATAAGTATTTTATAAASTGCTTATGTTGAACCTGACTCCATCCAGCCTCATTTCTTGCTAAGTCGTGGTGAGTCTTTTATTCCAGTTACAATGAACTACGTGCAGTTCCTTAAAGTCTCCATGCTGATTCATGCCTCTGTGTCTTTGCAGTTTCCTCTGCCAGAAGCAGTCTGGACGCTCCTTCTTAATTTTGAGACTTACCTTAAGGTCACTTCTCCTATGAATGCATCATTCTTCATCTCCTCAGGTAGAATGACCCCTCTCTCCTTGTCCCTAATGGTACTCTAAATTGAAATCTCTTCCCTTTTTGTTTCTACATGTCTCCCTCTGCTGCTGTTGTGAGCTTCACAAGGACAGAAAATATTTGATTGACCTTTACATCTGCAGTACCTGGCATACAGTTGGCAACTAGTGAATGATTTTAGGGGATGAATATGCTGCAGTCACATAGAGATAACTGAAGGGATCAGTAGTACTTATTGCCATATATTTAAATCCCATCTTATTCTCTTTTTGCCAGTTGAGGTTATTTTAGTCTGTTTTATATATAATCATGCTATCAAGAATAAATATTAAATAAAGTTTTTGTTTTCCCTGTTTCTAGAAGGCCATTTCTGCCAGTGCCTTGGTAAATCCACTAGAAAGATAGCTACAGATAGAAAGCACGTTTGATACGGTGTTTAGATAGCTTCAAGATGTCTCCTGGAGAAGGAAAGGGAGGAAAAGGACTGGGCTGGCTTCTTTAAATAAAGGAAATATTGTCTTGATGAAATTTTTGCCCTTTTGGCATTACCTATAAGCTTTCTTCAGCTCTATCATCCAACGAGTCTGTGATCTGTTATTGGCTGTTGATAAATATACACAGGAACAAAAGGCAACAGAATTGTAACTGCACCYCAAAATAAGGCCCAAAAAGCCTCCAAAAATAGGAGGAAAGTGGATTTGACTCCTCAGATTTCATGATCCAACACAGGACTCTCCATTTGTTTCTTGTAGGTTATTCTCATAGCTGAATTTCTCAGGACCATCAACACAAGTACATTATGAGGAAGTTGTAAAACAATGTCCAAGCTCTGGAACAGTTGTTTAAGAAAACAAGATTAGGAGACCATTAGTAGAGCAAAGTCCTAGGAACAGGATTATAGAACTGTAGATTGTCTGCCTGGAGATTTTAAAGGGTATCAAGTTCATGAGACATCTAAGCTTCACTGAGTTGGGGGCATCTGGAGAGTGGGAGTGGGGAGACATTTGCTTCAGAGTGTCAGGTTCCAGGTATGTTAAGGTTAGATACATGTCCTCTGCTCCCACGTAAGCCAAACACTTCCATGTTGTATGTGTCCCTGGTTGTGGAGAGGGAGTGAAGTGTCGGAACAGCAGAGTGAAGGAAAGACCATACTTTGGATGAGAAAGCCAGTGGTGAYTGAATTCCTTCTGTGACTGTAGGATTGTTTCTGATGGTAGATCCCACAGATAAAAAACAGTACTTCTCTCCACCTGCCCCAAGGCCCAGGAAAAGCAAGCAGGAAGGAGGTGTCCATAATGAAAAAAAGATCTATACATATAACCAGAGTATTTCCTTTTATTTACAAACTAGTAAACCAAATCCCTGTGTGAACATACATAGCCAATATGTTGTACTTTTTTATATGCCATTTCCCCTCAAATATGACTTCAGGTTTAACCACTTTTCTGATTTAAGCCAAAATTTAGTTTCATCTCTATGCCCAAATGATGGTAAGAAACCTACTAATTTCTTTAAACTGTTTTCCCACCTAAAGAAAATGGTAGAAAGTGAAGGGAAAGAACAAACAGAGATGTAATAAAACTTACTCCACCACCGTTATCCTCACCCACAGCATGTCTCAGAGTTCAGTGCCTGAGTGAGTCTCTGTAGTAAACATGGGCTGTTCTGAAAATGTCTCCACTTAGCTAAATAAGTTAGGATGGCAGCCTTCAGGGTGCTTTAGAGGAAGCTTACTGAATTCAACCCCAGTGTCCTGAAGGAAACTGAAGACATTACTCAAAGAACTGAACTTAACAAGGACTTGCTGAGGTTTAGGCATGTTCTTTCTTGAACTCATGAACACTTCTGGCACTATGTATAATATCTGTACACTGACCTTAGCCACAGACAAGAAGCCCCAGATGAGCTGAAAGGCTTTTCCTGGTTTATTAGGGTCTCAGGAATAGCCAGAGGTAAAAAGATCTGTCTCTTCACACCACATATTTGTACAAACCTTGGTATCTGTTTTCTGAGCCAAATTTCCAAAGGTTTCTCTGAAAACTACAGATACCCCTCTTGTGGACTATTTTAAAATAAATCTATTTTTATGTATTTGAACAATAACTAGAGGTGTGTCTCTTCTCTGCAGATTTCTCTCTCACACATACATAAACACATACACAGAGTCTGTGTGGTGGGCCAGTCATACCAAAAATAAATACTTTCACTTCTCTAAATGTTTTATGGAACTAATGTCATTTTTGAAATATGTTAATAAATAATCTAAATGGGGGAGGGAGTTGAAGTGTTTGTTCTTTTTTACTTATGTTGATGGATAGCCACAAAGCATTATTGTATTTACAAAAAAACAAAACCCCCAAACCCAAAAAATCCCCCCAAATCAAACATCCTCTGTAAATATAGTATTTAAATGATGAGTAAGGTACTGTACCATCGGCCCCTGTTTGGTTATGTACAGCAGGTTAGTCACTCAGCAGTAGCCATTCCATGAATTCCTCATGGGTAGTGCAACGAGTTAAAAAGTGTATAAAACATTATACATATAAAAACTCTCACATCCTTTGGATGTTTGCAGTTCATCATAACTTTGTGGTTACCTTTCTGCAACATAAATTWAAAAAAGTTACACATCCACACACTCACTCACACAGACCATATGTAGAAACCCATTCATCCAATCATACACCATCCAGAGAGAGTAGTGCATGGGACCGAGCTCCATGAGGCACGAAGGGGTGGTCCCATCCTCAGGGCAGTCCATCATCTTCAAGGCTTAATGCCACTCGCTGGGGAGATAGACCAAAGAAATCATCATTAGATCCATAAGAGCTACTATTTATTATCTACAAAGTACCAGTCATATTATTACTTTATGGGTATTAGCTCACATAATCTTCAAACTATGCTGAGACAAGATTTATCATATTTTGCAGTTGAGAAAACAGACTCCATGAGCTTATGTACTGTTTGATCTGGATCACGTAGCAAGTGGCTGAACTAAGTTTGATACCAGGTCTGAGTAAGTCCAGAGCTGTCGCTATTCTCATCATTCTATTCTGTCTCTGTAAAGCAGGGTGGCAGAGATCTAAACTTTCTTCCCTTCCATGATTCAAGGTTGGGTCAACTTAAGTGGATCAGATCTGTAAAACATTAAATCCTAGACTTTTAGTGACTTGTCTCCAGAATGCTAATCACAATTAGTTTGTAACATGCTGCACCCTCCCAACTGATTAAACAGAATTGGAAGGAAGTGCAAGTCATTAAATTCAGTCCCTGTCTTCCTTATCCCTGCTTTCCAGTCACAGGATATAGACTCCCCTCTGCCACAAATGCTAACCACTAGATGGTGAGCCCACTAACCCTTCAGCCAGTAACCCCTTGTGGACAGTGGATTTAAATTCTTTCCTATACTGATGTGAAAGTTGTGTCTTTATATCGTACGTGATTCCCTGATTCTATGCCTTAGACTCAAAAACTGAGTTCTACACAGGACAATCCTGGTAGAATTCTGGTTCTGCCACTTCCTGGCTATGATCTTGGTCAAGTTATTCACTTTCTATGAGTCTCCAGTTTTTTCTTTGAAATTTATAGATAATGTGTGAATTCCTTCCCTTTATTCTGTTTTTTTTTTTTTTTTTTTTTGTCTCTAGGATACACATCTAGCTTTCCAAAACTGGTCCTGATATAATCATGTTTGTTATTCTTCCATTTCCTCCTTTGGACAGACCCTAGTTTCATTTTCTCATAGCTAAGTGAGTTTAAGCTGGCCACTTGACTTTTCTGGGACTTTATCTGTCAAATGGAAATAAAAGGACCTACCTTATAGGGCTGATGTGGAACCAAATGAAATAATTCATGCATAGTGTTTAATATAGGACTTCATACACATGGGATCTGGAGAATTCTAGATCAGCCTAAACAGTGTAAGTATCTTCCATCTCTGAACATTCTACATGTGATAAAAAGCAATTCCACTGCCTTTCAAGTCATCTTTGGCTTATTTGTGGTTTTCTGTGAATGCCATGCTCCACTAACAGACCTTTGAGACCATTTTATTCTAGTCCTGCCACCCTCTCACTCTAGTCAAGACAGATCTCTAAGGCCAAGACAGGTCCTCATAGTGATGGCAGAACTACCTGAGAAAGGGATTGGAGAAGACAGGTTGAGAATACTGATTTACAGAGCTTTTTTCTTTTTTGATTGTAAGAGCTTTAAAGTTATTTACCCCATGATAAAATTGAAAGAGCATGGGCCTTTATGTAAATAAAGACTGGAGTTTGAATCCTGGTTCTGCCACTTCCTGGCTTTGATCTTAGACAATTTATTCAATTTCTATGAGTCTCCAGTTTTCTCATCTGCAAAATGGGGCTAATAATATCAATTCTATAATATAATTTTAAAGATTAAAAAATAAAATGTATGTGAAACACTGAAAACAGTGTCTGACACATAGTAGGTGCTCACTAAATCCAATTTCCTCATTCTGTTAACTCTGTTTCTCTGTAACTGGCAGACTTGGGCATTAGACTTCTCAGGAGTAACTTCCCCTAAGTCATTTCCTTTTCTGGAAATAATGCCACATGCAGAGTGCTTTGTAATTTACAAAATGCTATCTTGTTTAAACTTTCTAAGTTCAGGAGGGTTATTCTTGTTTTACAAATAAAAGTAAGTAGAGAGAAGTGACTAAGATCACAGGTCTACAGAATGGTGGAACTGGGAGACATCTTTTTACCAAAAGCTCAATGCTTCTGGTACTGTGCTCCTTTTGATCTTTAAAAATTGTTAAGCAACTGTTTGCTCGGACTGGCCGAGGTTAAGGATCCTCAAGGCCATCTGCTCACCCTTCTCATTTGTTCAACTTCCTTTCTCATGTCTCCCCTTTATGAACAGTTTGCTTCAGAAAAAGTTCTGTTTGCTCCGTACTCAGTCATGTTCTGCACATGCCATTTCCTTGGTCTGCCACTAACCCAGGTTTCCTCTTTGCCCCACCCAGCTTACAGTTTGCAGCCTTCCAGACCAGAAAGCCTTCTAGATTGGCTGCACCTGCCTAGGTTCAGGCYCTCACTCACCAGTCCCTCAGGCTCAGAGTGGCACTGCCCTACCTTGCACTTGACGACAGGCAGCTCGGAAAGAGGGTTCTTCGGGAGTTGGTGCAGCTGTGACCTTGGTTCCCCCGGCAAGACAAAAAGCTCCTTGAGGGCAGGGGCTGGGTCTTCCAGTTCTCTGGTCTCCCCAAGACAGGGCTCTGCCCACAGTGGGCGATCAAAGCTGCTGATTGCCTGACAGGGGGATGTACTGGATGACCTCTGAGGTCACACTCAGCCCCCTGACTCTGCTGTACAACAATGATACCTGCTCCAACCACTTTGTGGTTTTGCTTCCCCAACAAGTCATGCTCTCTTGTGCCTTTAAGCCTTTGCACATGCTCTCTCTAGAATGCCATTTCCCTCCTTCTCTACTTGGAAAATTGCTATTCATCTTTCAAAGATACAGTTCATCTGTTACCTTCTCTGAGGCATTCCTTTCCCAATTCCCCAGACAGAATAAATAGCTCCCTCATTGATGTTTCCATAGCATTTGTTCAATAAATAGTTGTTGGAAGCCAGCTATGCTATGCTAGGCACCAGGAAAACAAATTAATCATGTCAGATCCTGCCCTCAAGGATCTCACACTCTAGAGGGGACCACTAATTAAAAGACAAATGGACTGTAGTGTGACAGGTGCTGGGATGGAGAGAGGCCCATGTGACCATGGGAGAACAAAGCAAGCCAAGGAAAGCTTCCTAGAATAAAGAACTCCTAAGCTTCCACCATGGCATGCAGCACACAGTTGTACGAATGTACATTAGCATCTCTAACTCTCCCAGCAGCTCCTTAGGAGCAACTGCATTTCTTAATTACTTTTGAACACTCAATGTCTAATGTGGTGCTTGGCATATAACTGGCATACAGTGTTGTTGAAACGAATACATTCACATTAAATGGCCACAGTTGCCCTTCTATCCCAAACATGCTGAAAACTCCTCAGCAGAAAGAAAGACCTCTGGCTTCTTTATTGCCAGGAAGAGACTCTAGGTACAAGGTGGTCCTGCTACCCTGCTACCCTAACAACCTACCTCAGGATATCTGTATTCCCCAGTGCTTGGTACATGGTGGGTCTTGATAAATGTTAAGGAAGGAGAAAGGAAGGAAGATGTGGGGAAAAGGAAGGAAGGGAGGATGGAAGGAAGAAACTCGCCCAGTAAGGAATACTTACTGCAGGATAGACATGGCCAATCTGAGCAGTCCTCCCTATATGGAGCTCATCTTCATCTTCTTCTTCTGTTGTTTTCCTGTACACTGGGTTGTCAAAATTCATGCTTTTGGTGTTCTTCCGCTTCCAGTTTCTCCAGATCAGGTAGCCACTCATGCATAACAGAGCTATTACCGCTAGAGGAAGGGACACATTATACTGGACATCAGGAGGCTCCGGCTCATGGCCCAGACCTCAGTGCAGATCCTGCCACCTCTTCAACTTCACTGCCCCTTGCCTTTTGGGCACTGTTTCTGCTGTTTGGAAGCCCTTCTCTCATCAATTCTTTTCTCCATTAGCTACTCATCCTTCAAAATCCATCTCAAATGACAAATCTTTCCCATTTGCTGTAGACAAGAGTCTATTGTTCCTTCATGTATGCTCCCAGACCATAGTATCTTACTTTACTGGAACTGTCCTCCCAGCTCAACTGAGCCTTGGTGGGCAGAGACTGTCTTACTTATCTCTCCATGCGCAGTGCCCAGCACTGAAGAGGTGCTCAGTGACATGTGCTAAACAAAGGAGACAATTTTTCCCCCTTTGCCCTATTGCTGCTGCTTCCCGGAGTCTCTTAAGAAAATCACCCTTTATACAAATTAGAGGGTGGAGAGTGGGATGAAGCTATGGCCCCACCAAAGAGGGGCAAGACTAGAAGGGGATACAGAGGGCAACACAGGCTTTTCAGTTAGTATAAATGAATTTATTAATGAGTAAAGAAGGCTGTTGAGAGCCACAGCCGAAGGGGCCTCAGCAAACTTCCAGCTGCCAGCTGATGATTGGCTCACAGCGGCCCCAGCAAACTTCTAGCTGCCAGCTGATTGGCTCCTCTGCGGTGATGCTCATTGGGCTGTTTCCCCGCCCTTTCAGACCACGCAGCTGCTCATTAGGGGACTTTTTTGGCTCCGCCCACACGACCCAGCCAATCAGCCTCAAGAGCA